ATACATATCTGCAGCATAATTTTTATCTAATTTGAAGATGATAAATTTAATAATAAAAAACTAAATTGACTTAAGGACCCACCCCCCAAAAAAACACCTCAAAACGATGCCAATGTGCAAATCCACAAAAACAAAACAGGGCCTTTGTGGTAGGTACATATGATATGTTCTACATCAACCTGAACAAGGGCATCTTTAGTATGATTTATTAGCCTCTATTTTCTCCAGTGCATTAGTCACATCCTTTATAAAACAACACAATTAACCTGAACTCATTTAGACTGCTAAGAAAGATGTATGAGAATTTCTGTAGTGACTAAGTGGTTATTGTAAATCATTCTACATACAAAGATACACAGTCAGTTATTTTAGGGTTTCATGTAAAATACATCCCACCCAGAAACATTAGACAAAATATTTGTAAATAGTTTCCTGTCACTTTTAAAGAAAGATCTTGTTTGCTTTCAAATAGGTCCAGAGAGGCATAGCAGAACAAAACCTTTTCAATTCAAATAGATTGACACCGAGATATTATGTAGCTCATAAGTAGTAACTCTGGTTGATGTTTTTGTAAATTTGCTCAAAATTCTGTTTTTTTTTTCTTTTTTTTCCACACAACATATACTGATTACCGGTTTCTCCTCCTATTATTGCCTTTTCTGTCTCTCCTTAGAAAACAATACAGGTGACTAAGGGATAATAATAAGATAAAATATAAAAAGATAAAAACAAACAAATCATGCTGGGCATTGGTGGCGCATGCCTTTAATCCCAGCACTCAGGAGCAGAGGCCAGCAGATCTCTGTGAGTTTGAGGCCAGCCTGGTCTGCAGATTGAGTGCCAGGATAGGCTCCAAAGCTACACAGAGAAACCCTGTCTTGAAACAAACAAACAAACAAAAAATCGTAAAATACAAGAAACAAACAGAAGGACAAGAGCCCAAGAAAAGGTACAAGAAACAGACACAGGGACCCACTGGTTCTCACACTCAGGAATCCCATAAAATCACTAAACTAGATGCAACAGACCTGTAGAGTAAAACGGGTAAAATAAACAAACAAACAAATAAATGAATAAATAAATAAAAACACAGCTCAGACATAAAATTATAAGATAAGGAATAGCCAAAGATGCCATTGAGTTTTTGTTTTCTCTGTTGGCCATCTACTGAAGGGAATGTGGCCTCCTCATAAGAGTAGTTTGTTTTCCCAGTGAGACTCCCTTGAAGAAAAGGAAATTTTCATTTCAAGTGGTTATCATTTGGAGACAAAAATGCTGATATTTTTAACTTTGTGGCTTTACTTCCCAATTGGTGGACTAAGTGGACCAAGGAAATCTTAAATAATATTAGAAAATAGTTTGAATGAAATATTTAAAATGCTAAATTAAAAGTAAGTTATTAAAATAATACAATTAATATAATGTAGTGTATAATATATAATTAATTAATAGAGTAATTACAAGGAAATTTGACATTAAATGCTTAGTAGTTCAAAAAGAAAAGTGTCAAACCAGTAACTTCCTATTGCTTAGAAATTTAGAAAAGATGAGCAAAATTTTAAAAAGTAAATAATAAACAGCAGAAATTTCTGAAAAAATAAACATTGAGAAGTAAAGAGCTGCTTTTTAAGAAGAATAAAATTGAAAAAATTTTGTTGGGGGAGAAAGAGAAGGGAAGGTAGAGAGAGAGGAGGAGGAAACACACAGATTGTCAGATCCAGATGGAAAATTGGATACCCAATGGACAAGGACAGCACTGAGTGATGCTACCATGTAATTTTGACAATGTACTTACCACTTTGAAAACAAACTACTGAACCCAACACCAAATAGATAGCCTGGACCATGGCTAAAATCCTCCTATCAAAACAGTATCTAGACACAGATAGTTTTATTACAAATATTTGAATGAAAATAGTATTAATTCTCCACAGTATTTTTCAGAATATAGAAAAGTATGAAACTATCTTACCTCAAAATGTCATCACTATCTTAATATATAAACCAGAGAATGACCAGAATAAAGCACAGCATGGAAAACTTCAGACTTTTAACTTTTATGAGCAGAGGCAAAATTTCCTCTAGTTCTAACAATATAGGGAAAGAAAGATACAACATAATACCAAAAGTCAAGTTCACTGTGGGAATGTGAGACCTGCTTAATAACTGATAATTAATACCAACACTGAAGGTATACAATCAGCTTCTGACAAAAGTCTACATTCATGGTGATGCTTTCTTGATTCTGTAAGAACCTCAGAGAGAATGTGCACAGAAACATCTGAATATATAAGACCTCACACTAAAAGAAAAACAACCAAGTGTTATGCTGTTAACATCAAGAAAGATATAGGGGTGTCTCTCCCCCTTCTTCTAGTCAACATTATCCTGGGGTTCCACCAATGAATTGATAGGCAAAGGAAAGGGGAAGGGAGAGAAACTCCATATTAGAAAAGGAGAAGTATTGCTGTTTTTATCTGCAAACCAAGTGTGCTGATTTGAATAAGAATGGTCCCCACAGGCTCATATATTTGAATACTTGGTCATTAGGGAGTGATATTACTTGAGAAGGATTAGGAGGAGTGGGTGTGGCCTTGTTGGAGGAAGTGTGTTACTGGGGGTGGGTTATGAGGTTTCAAATGCTCAAGTTGGGCCCAGTGTCTTTCTCTTCTTGCTGCCTGCTAATTGGACGTAAACTCTTAGCTTTCTCCCCAGCACCATGTGTGCCTCCATGCTTCCCACTATGGTCCTAATGGACTAAACCTCAGAACTGTAAGGTAGCCCAATTAAATGTTTTCCTTTATAGGAGTTGCCATTGTCATGGTGTCTCTTCACAGCAATAGAACACTGACTAAGATATCAAGTAATCATCTAAGTAAAAAATTCCAATTTTGGCATCTACCAGAAGAGAACAGTGGACTACAGTTACTAATAGGTGACGGCTGAAAGAGTACAGCACACTAGATTAACATAGAGCATTGTATTTCCATGCATTACAACTAATAACTAGAAAGTGACATTTTAAAAATAAATCTGACAAGAGATGTCAAGTACCTGTACTTCATGAATCCCAAGATAGAAAGTCAAAACCAAAATAGTACTAAATATTAAAAATGTATCTTAAACAAAAATAAATAACTTTTCCTGAAAAGGTATAAATGTAATTAACCATTTATAAGTTCTGAATGCTAAAATCTGCAAATACTAATGAAAACTTAAAGATCTGTGTGTGGCAGGGAGGGTCTATTATGTTCATGGACTAGGAAAGTCACAGCAGACACAGTATGGCTCTGCAAGATGACCTCTAGATGTAACACAATTTCAAAGTCCCAATAGAATTTATTGTCAAGTTTCATCCTAAATTTTCTATGTGAAACCACAGGAAGAGAATTTTCAAAAGGAACAACAAAGTTGGTAGAGGCACAGCACAGAATTTTGCTTTAGGTCTACTATAGAACTCTAACAGAAAAGGGCCTACTTTCACAGAACAAAGATAAAGAGATCAACAAACAGAAAGTTACATACATGTCCAACTGATTTTCAATTAAATGACAAAAAACATTTCCATGGAGAAAGGATAGTGCTTTCAATAAATGGTACAGAAACAATTTCATACCACTATTAAAAACTATACTTTGACTTAAACTTCATAATTGATTTTTAAAATGTCAGTTCAACATAAATCAAAATTCTCTATGACCATAAAACTTTCAGGAAAAAACATTGGAAAACACCTTTTATAATAACCTCAAGCTATCTAAGAGGTGTAAGGTATACTATTATACCAAAAACTGGAGCAATTAAAAACTGCATTTGACAATTGGACTTCAAACATTCATTGGGTTTGCTTTCCAGGGAAATATTGTAACATGAATACAAATACAAATAGGCTGGGTAGGATAAAATAGTATACTATAAATCCTACATCTGATATAGGATTTGTACCCAAATATATGAAGAATTCCTAAAATTGAACAGGAAGAAATCCAGAAATGTCCTTTGCCTTCTTGGCAGCCCTATCTTCACTAGAGGCCAGAGCTGCTTGGAGTGTCTGGGGGCTCTGTTTCACAATCTGGTTCCTTAATGATTTTAGAGTTACCTCTTTGGAGGGGCAAAGGTAAGAGTAGCAATAAAGGAGTAGTAAGAAAAAATCCCTTCTAGTTAAGAGAATAGAATTTCTGGCCTGAGTGGATTGATTTCATGGCCAAGGGACCACCCACAGGCTGGAGGAACTATCCCTAGGAAGGCTGACTCACCTCAAACCCTGCCAATCGATGGGTGGGATAATTATCCTTTAATGAGATACCTTCCCTTATCTACTTCAGCACAGTCTGCTCTAGAGCCAGGGACATGCTACATTGGAAAGTCTTGCCAGTGTTTCCTAATTACTCAGAAGAAAAGGCAAAGCCTATGTTCTTTTCTCCATCTACCTCTTTTCTAAGTATGGCTTCCCTAACACTTTCAGTTTTCCCTTCTGTCTTCCATGCCTCTCATCTGGACAGTGCTGAAGTTTACAGCTTGCCTATCTGCAATATTTTTCTTTTAAACTCTAGTAAAATTGGCCTCCAGCTTATAGAGGAGTGCACACAAAAAAAATTGAACATATATGAACACATTTGAAGAAGATGACACTCAGGATTTGGTGAACAGAATTACTGAAAACTGGTTGTGGTTTCTCTTTGATAGCAATTTTATTTATATCTTCAAACTAAGAGTTTTAGTAATATGTCAATACTACTATTAATAATTTCTAGCAAGGTTTATAAATGAAAACTAGGCACATGAAATTAGGGGTAAAACTGAAACATAAAACTGAAGTCTGACACTAGTAAACATAGTATTTGAGTAACTGAAACAAAAAGAATTAAAGAAAAGCAGCTGTTTGCCTTCATGGATGCACAGAAGTGAGAAATGTCATCCCTTGCTGTGTGGAGTACACAGTGGTACAGATGCCTGGGAAACAGTTTGACAGTTTCTTGTATAACTAAATACACACTTACCATATGATCCAGCAACCCCACTCCTGAGTATTTACCCTAGAGAAATAAAAAATATTAATTTATTCAAAATTATGTACATGAGTGTTTATAACAGTTGGATTCATATCTGTTAACACCAGAGACAATCTACTCATCTTTTTATGCTGGAGAAATCATGCCTCATTTATAGGATGGAATACTGTTGAGCAGTAAAAAGAACACACTATAGCTATAGATAAATGTCATACACAAGTTTGCTTATTAAACAATGTCAGTCTCTACAGCACATACTTTATGACTCCATTTCTACATCATCATTTTATAACATTATCAATAAGTAAAAAATAAAGTAATGGAGAACAGATTAGTACTCCTCAAGGGTTGGTTAAAGACAGACAACGCATGACTTGAAAGCATGCAGGACAAGGGATTCCTCTATATCCCCACTGTCTGGACATGAGATGAGCCTATACAAGCATTTAAATCATACAGTATATACCAGGAGTAAACACATTTTAATTTGTGACAATGAAGAAAAAAATGTTTGACTGGTAGTTGAATGCAGCGCAGTGCTATGCTTTCCCCGAAGATGATGCTCAATACATCTTTGTTGAATAGAACAGTAATTCTATTTAATTGACTGTAGTTTCTCTTTTGATAGCAATCTTCTATTTTCAAACTTTCAGTGTTTTAGCAAAATAGTAATACTTTTTCTATCATGGTATATATCGTGAAAATATTTCAAACTTAAAACTTCATTTAAAACGCCAAGTGACAGAAATGTAGCATTCCTAACCAATTATTTGAAACTCTAACAAATACCATTAGTAAGATCTCAACGATAAGAAAACTAAAATACTGGTGAGAAAAGTTAAAAATGATAAAAAGGTGGCAGGACCTTGTGTTCATAGACTGGGAGAGTAAACTGTCAGCATGCCTGTACTACCTACAGATTTAGTGCAATCCCAATCAAAGTGCCAATGATAGTCTCCAAAATCTCAAGAGCAAAACTAATAACCTAACTGAAAAAAATAAGTATTCTTTTTGGTTCAGTTAAAAAAATTATTTAAAATTTTAATTACTAATAATGGTAACCATTACTTTGTATATGTGATTATCTTTCTCATTAAAAAAAAGGAGCAGACTCTGGGCCAGGGCATAGCTCAGAGGTAGAAAAGTTACTTTGCACAGCCAAATCCCTGAGTTCTTTCCCTCTTGCAGCAAGGAAGTCACTACCCAGGCCTTTGCTACCTCAAGCAGGCATTTGATCAATGTTCATGGAATGAATCTTGGTTGAACATAGAGAACTTGTCAAATTATCCCATCATTTTTATCTCAGACATGAACTCTTTATAGAATCTGTCTTTCTGCTTAAATCAGCAAGATGGACTTTCTATAGTTATTATTTCTAGCTCTAACAACAGTATACACAGAATCGTAAAGTCACAGATTTCCTGTTGAAGATGTACTGGGCATGTACTTGTCTGTAGTACCTGTGTACCCAGATAAGCCTGTTAGGGTTCTGCTGTTATTCTTTACTCACACAGGTCATAGGTCTGAATAAGATTCATCAATTCTTATTATTATACTATTAAATATACTAGCCAAATTCAATGCATCTCAATGAATAAAAACCATTTCCTCTATCAAAAAAATTCAACACTTAATTCTGCACTTGCCTCTCTCCAAACTCTTACACTTTACGTTTGAAATGATTAATGATATAACTGAGGTTTTCAAAGGGATCTAACCTAAGAATTACATCAATTCTCAAAACTCTGATATCATTTGCATATGTCATCAGTATATGGTAAATATAATTACCACAACTTTTTAAAATGTTTTGTTTGCAAAAGAATTATTTCAGAACCCTGTAAATTGTTTTGAAGATGTTTTTTTCTGGATATCATTTAACATCTGATCATTTCTAATTTACTTAGATATAAATAAACTTCTTCATAAACATTTTTATTATAGCTTTGAAGAATTTTACAATGAGCGATGATGCAAAAATACTCATTTTCTTAGTGTATACTTTGCTATTACATTACACTATCATTTACAAATAATCTAAACTGGGGTGTTCTTATTGCTATCAGCAACAAGTCAAAAATGCAACAGATCATACCTGTTAATTATGCTTTGTAACTAAAGAAGAAAATACTTCTAATCTAGCTGAAGTACTACTCACTACAGTAATTTAATGAGTTCACCTAACAAATATGCAAAGTAGCTTCAGCATTATATTAATTCTTAGAATATTGTTAATATAGAATACTGTAACAAGAAGTACCATCCATTACTAATAAGCAAACAATAAATGTAATCTTCAAAAAAGAGTTTTACACAGAAAAATACTGGCTCCCAAACTTTCAAATTTCAAAGCTTGTCCTCCATTGACTTTAATTGGTTTCCATAGTAGATAAATCTGATTGTCTCCTTTTATCCACACAACCATGGAAAAACTGTAAGAAACACACAAGGAGTTCAAATACTAGGGAGTCAAACTCTGCTACAAAATGTCAGTCTGACTAAATTCCCCTTCTATGTCTCCACATTCAGCAGTTACTCATGTCTGGACCACATGAGCATTTGAATACAGTTTCTTGCATATTTAATCAGAATAAATGTGATAAAAAGTGAATGAACTGTTACCAGATTAGGCTTGGAAAGACATTTTTTTTTTCACTCAGCCTGAAATAAAACCCTAGCAAAACCAATCTAAACATGGGATAGATTTAAAAATACTTGTGACAAACCATCCAACCTCACTAGCATAAGGTCCTCTCATGTATTAGCAGAATTGGGGGAAATTGCAAAAGGGACTTTTTTTGAACATATCTGAAGCATAGGAGCAGGGCTACACAGTGCCAAAGATGGGAGGGCTGTGTAATTATTAAGTGTACATAGAGTCATGGCATCTCAAAACTTAAAACTGAGGTTTTAGAATACCAATTAGCCTCTGTTCCGAAAGCCCCAGTACTTATAATGCTGTCTGTATTTTTGCTGAACTCTGATTTTAAAGCACTTACCTGCTTCTGTAGCCATCTTTCATGCCTCCTCCGTTGCCTTCTTAGAGTCCTCAACTTGCTCCTTTCTCTGCTATTCAGCCTGTGGTTAATAGTGCCCAAGGGAAAACTGGCAGAACGCAGAAAGTCCAGAGGGGAGAGGTGTTCTTCTTGGTCGGAGGCGTCCAGAACGCCCCTCCCCACTGAGGGCAGATCCATCAGGAATGTCAGGCTGTTAGCATTAGCGTGATCTGAGTATAGGGAAGAAGCTTCTAGGCCACACTGAAATTCTCTTCCTCTTTGTGCCTGGGTCTCATGGGCAGACACTGAAAGTCTATGCAGCAGCATATTCGGATCAAAACTGGGTGGGTTTTGAAGGGAGCAGCCACTTTTCCCACACGGCGAAGCCAAGCCGGAGAGGTCAATGGGCTGGGTTTCATTTAGCTGGGGATAAGCGGCAGTCTTACTATGTATTTCATAGAAAGTGGGTAATAAAGGCAGTGTCTCATTGATGTTCAGGTCCAAACTGTGTGACTTTCTATGCGAAGCTTTGGAAGTGCACCTGCTGGTCGCAAGCTCAGGAACAAAAGGCTGGTATTTTGGATCCCATGCTTTGAAGAGCAGTTTCTCATTCTTCATATCAAAATACGTGGCTCGCACCTCCAGGCAAAGTGCTTCTGTTAGTCTTCCAAGGCCGTTATTGTTTCGGGCCATGTTCAAAAGCCTGTGGTTTCTGATTTTGGAGCCACCACCTGTCACCAGAGCCTCCTTATCACAACCTGACTGGACTCCAGGATGTGACAAGTATTTCAGCACTGGCCTCATTAGGTTGCTTGTCTGCGCTGGTTGGTGATCAGTCCGGCTCTTGCAGAGATGTACAGCTGCAAGCTGGCCACAGGAACATTTTGGAGTGCTGACAAAATTAAAGCCCCCTAATCGGGCCCCACAGAAAGGACAATTCAGTTTCCCAACTGTCCACTGGGCCTACAGGTAGTAAAGGAAATAAAGACAATGCTTCCATTGTAAAGTGACCAGAGAATGAGTTTAAAAGAAGAAAAAAAAAAAAAAAAAAAAAAAGAGCGGATCACATGAACATTTTGTATGTTACTGAAAAGGCTAGCTTTCTGTTTTCTGATTAGTAGACAGAACAGCAAACGGAAACAAGCTTTCCAGTAAATATAGATAAGCAAGCAGCTACAAACTACTAGAATGATAACATATTGCAAATCATGCCTAGCTCAACAACCAAGAATTCCTAAAGAAAGTCTCTGAACAATAGGTTGAATGCAGATACAGTGTGAACTAATGAAAAGAAAAATACTCCATGGAACCAGGAAGCAAATCAAGTCTACAGAGCTTCATTTGCAAGTGAAATCTCACAGAAAGTGTCTGTTCTGATTCACTTCTTGCATGCCAAGCATGGGGTATGGGGGGGATGGGGGAATGGGCAGACTTTATCAGTCAACAGAATAAAGAGCTCCCTGGCTTTCTATACACAACCAAGAGGTACCGATCGCCTAACTCAGTACTCGTGTATTTCCATACTTGGATTAGAAATTAATGAACTGCTTTTAAAATTGTCAAGAAAGACAGTGAGGCCTCTGTAGGGTTCGAATCTACTCCATGGCATTCTGGACACTTAGGAGTGGGACCATCAGTATGCTCTGAGGAAATCCTAATGCAAGCATGGATTCAAGTGAGAGCCACCACGTGCCGCTTTAAAAAAAAAAAAAATGTAAGTTACTTGGTGGAGAAATTTATAGTTTTTTTAATGGTTAGATTACTTATACTTTCCCAATACAAGTATTTAACAATGCAAAATAAAATATCCCAAACCTGCAATTCACAAAAGTTCTTTTTCTGACAGTATCTCATTAAATATCACTTACAGCAGAACATTTCCATTTTCATCCACCTAATAAGAGACACTGCTTATCCAGCTTATTTTATATGTGTGTACAGATGATGGCTGCACAAAAATATTTCACTCACTGTATACAACAGATGCAACTCTAGGCACCAAAGATATACTACTAGCAAAGGATAAACTTTCCTGGCTTTGTGGTGTTTATATTCTATTGGAGGACCTAAGAAATTAATGAGAAAAGAGCAAGCCGAATGTCGGTATGTTTGAATGGATGCGTGAGTGTGATTGTATATTTGTGTGTCATTATATCCTCATGTATATTTACCAGTGAAATGTAATATAGTGTGCATGAGCCTGAATAATATAGGCATATAAAGCAGAGGGGAGAGAAAGGCAGTGAGAAAATGGACAGTGGTGGGCAGCTGAAAACAAGAAAGAGCAATAGAAATGGGGTGACAAACCAGGTAAGTATGCGTCAGCACATTTAGAGACTAGAAATACCAGGTGCAAAGTCATACAGAAAAGCACTGAAATGCTCCTGTAAGAGAAGGGAAGCCAGTGCAATTAAGAGAAATATAATCATTCACATGTTTTGAAACAACACATCTAAGAAAAAAGAGCACAGCAGTATTTTTGAAGGCGATATAGTCCTAACTTCAGTCAGCAACCCAGAAACTTACTTTTTGGATTAGGCAGCTTATCCACTCTGGAAGGGCTTCTATATTCATGTGCCATAGACGACAAGTGGTTTGAGCATCAACTGATTCATGTCTGTCCTGTTATGGAAAAATGAATATTAGCAATTATCACCTGAGAACTTACTTTAAAATTCCCATATTAAAGAAAAATAAAAATAAAAGCCCCATTTTAGTTAGAAATCAAATATACATTGCCTTCTTTCCTTTTTCCTCATCAGCAAAAACTAGGACCAAGTTATTTCTTTCCTAGGAAATAACTAGCTGTGATTCAAAAATTGTCAGTGAATGGCATATCCAGTGCCCCATTTTTATTTCTCTGCATGAGATTAAATAGTGTTGTTTGTAGGAACTGTCCTCAACGCTAAATCTCTCATTTTATTTGGATTTTACCACCAATAAATAAAGAAGTATGTATATCCTCTAGCCGACCACCAATAAATGTGATGGATAGGATACATGACACTAAAGAATCTGACCTGCTGAAGACCAGCAGAAGTAGGTCTCTGGGTTTCCTCTGGCCTTTTGTCCTCAAGTCATCAAAACACTGGAAAAGATTCCCTGATTCCTTCTAAAGAGGCCATAAGACTTCCATATGACAGATGCCTTCCTTATGCAGGAAAGGAACTCCCTTACCTGTGAGCACAAAGGGTCACAGGGAAGAATCTACTTAGTTCCCTAGGCTGTAACCACAAAAGTACATCCCTTATGCCAGGATCAACAAACATTTAAACAGAATTCTAAAGTAGCCATGTAGTGTGTGATAAATAATTGAGACATAATGGCTTCCCATCCTGTGAGAAAAATGTTGGGCAGAGCAGAGTGAAGATTTGTATGTATGCCTCTGAGCTTCAGCTTCTTGACTATAAATTACTTAGACCATAAGGGACCTAAGGACTCTCCTGGGGCCCGGGAAGGTGTTGGCTGAGATAAACATGGAAAGTACAGGCTCCCACCACACACCAATTCTCAGGGTCAGATTTTGCACTTAATAGTTCTACAATTACCAAATCACAGTACTTTCTCTCAGATTTCCCATGCAATAACACAACTTTTACTCCGGTCAGGTAAACAAAATAACAAACAAGGAAGTGTCTCTCCATCTATTAACAGTAACATCTTGATATGTGAAAGCAGTGGGGTTGACCATCTCAAAGAAATCATCTACCTTAGAAGGTATGACTTGGAGCCAAGACCACCCAGAATAATTTATGTATAATCTATGTATAGCTTCCCAAGCTGAACCCTCCAGTGCCCTACAACTACTTTTCACTTCTACCATTAGATCACAGTAGGACAAAACAATATGGTGTGATTTATTTATACATTGGTAAAAATCAATAAGGAAGACAGCTCCATCTAACTTTCTTTAGTGAATAAAGAAAGCAATGACTTGACAACTTAAATTAAAAGAGAAAATGGACATGAGGCATTGTTCCATGTTAGACCACATTTCATTATCTTTAATGCTGTACACACGGTATTTCAGGTACTATCAAGTAGTAATCCCTGACCAAAGAGTTCTCACAAATAGTAAGAGTAAGCAGTTCTGGTGTGCTGTTGCACAGTACAGTAAGTATGGGCTAACAGTAAAATACATTTCAAACAAGAGGAAGATTGTGAAAGTTTTTACCATACTAAATAATGAAAATTTGAGTGGACATATATTTAGCTTGATTTGAATATTATGCAATACATATATATTAAAACATTAACTCATTAAAATGTGAAACTTTTAATAATCTAGGTATTAGGTAAAAGTCAAATTTAATAAGGAAAAAATAAAATGTCTTGAACTATTTTCTATTCTAATGTCTTAGTCTTATAACAGAGGTTGGAAATAATTACAACAGGAGCTAGAAAGTCTTCTGGAAAGTGTTTCATCTGCAGATGCCCAAAGTCCTACTCAGCTAGCAAAAGACAACTTTCCTGGTTTTCCATGTCAATGATGAGAGCATTGGAATAGGCCCAGTCAAGTGCATGAACATACAAAGAGGCCATTACTAAGCAGAATAAAAGTTAGGGAAGAGAGGCTCTGGTAGGGTCAGTCTGCAGCTCTCTTACTTGAGGCTCCCTAACATCTCATCAAGGGAGTGCCAAGAAAATAGGAGCTGGCTTCTTGATTCCTTTTCTGGACACAATGACATAGGGAAACACAGGCAGAAAAGAAGGTAATTACTGCTTTCAATATTGTACAGTTGGTATACAGCCCAATCTATCCTCCTACCATGCCATGTAATATATAAAAGATAGAGTATTTCTTAAATTGAGTTCTAAACTCAAGTACAGAAGGACCTCTTCCAATGGACTTGAAATTGGGGGACACTCCTGAGACTACTGACAGCAGTGAAGTGCAAAGCACACAAGAACAGGGGGTGATTCACCATGACAGTGGAAATAAGAAGAAAATAGGGGTCCTGAGAAAACTATTAGAGGTTCAGCAGAACTTTACCTGTCTCCAGGTAAGAAGAGCATTTAGGTCAGAAAGAAACAGGGCAGTGCACAAGGAGAGCTGGGAAGACGCTGAAGAAATGAGGAAGGCTTTGCAGTAAGGCAAAAGAACAACTGCTGAGAACTAAACTCTGTCCTCACTGGGAACAGCACTCCAGCAAATGAGACTGGTGTATAGACCTGTAAGAAAGATGGCCAAGAAATAGTATTTGGTAAAAAGTAAAGAAATGGTTTCAGAATGCCATATATCCTATGATGAGAATGGTTATATGAATATGCATTGGTTAGACTAACAGAAATGTTTATTTCAGCACAAAAACTATACCCTATTAAAAACTGATCAAAACAAGCAAAAAAGGTAAAAATATTTTCTAAGGAAACTGATACAGACAAGTGGAAAATGAGTTTTCCTCCTCAGCATTCAATGAGAGAATGATGCTAAAGGCAGGGAACACAAGCTAGGACCCTGAGGACCAGGTATCCAGAAAGTACCTGAAAATACCCAAGCAGCTGCTATTGTCAAGTCTCTGTTCTCTGCATTAAGGTGCAAGGGCTACCATGGGCCCTTGTGCAGTCCAGGTTGCTAGTCTGGAAAGTATCAGCTGCAAATTTCAGTGGTATCTGTGTGCTACTCACAGACTCCAAGAGCTATGTAGCAAGGCTTTCTCCACCTAGATTCCAAAGGATGTAGTCAACTGCATGGGATCATTCCAAGAACTTGGCATGGGTGTGGAGTCATCGAAGACTGAATCTATGGGAGTGGGGTCAGTCTTAAGACTACAGACAGAGATATAGAAAGCCATTATCACACAACGCCAGGAGAGCTGCAGACAGAAGACTCAAATCCCTAAGAGCTGCTGCATGGGCAAAACCCAGGCAAGGCATCAGAGAAGGGGGCCAGAGGTTTCTGCATCTACCCATGCAGGCAGGGAATCACCGGGACAAGTCATCAGAGCAGGGCTGCAGAGGCTTCTGGATCATCCCCTGCAGGGAAAGGGGCCAAAGATGGTAGTCTTCCCCTTTGAAATTGCAGCAACCTCAGCCCTGTTGGATATCATACCTACTTGGGACCAGCTGTCCTGTTTTCTCCTTTTGAAAACTAGCTTTCCTATGCCTGCCTGGCCATTGTGTTTTAGGAGCAAGGAGCTTATTCTGATCTCACAGGCTCCCATCTGGAGGAACTTGTGCTCTAGTCTCATCTGCATCTGATTTACATGAGACAAGGCTTTACAAGTTTCAAGGGGCACTGCAAGGCCTTAGGACTTTGGAGTTAATGGGAAGGAATGATTGTATTTTACGTTTGAAAAGAGCACGGATTGAGGTGGGCACAAAAAGCACTGGGGCTCCAAGGTTGAACCAAGGTACCCAGTGGGTGGTGCTTTTGGAGGAGGCTCTGGAAACTTCAGGAGCAACAAGTAGGTCCCTGGGGGCAGGACTCTGAAGGTTTTAGCTGGCCCTCTTCTCTGTCTCCTGTCTACCATAATATGAGAAACATTTGCTGAACACCCCCACTCACATGGCACACTGTGCTGCCTCACTCCAGACCCAGAACACCAAGCCAGGTGACCATGTGATGAACCCTCTTAAAGGTAAGTAACTCCCTCCTTCAACAATTAGAATGTTTCAAAGATGACCAAGAATTCAGTTGCAAGAGAACAAAACCTATAAAACAATGAAATTAGGACCACTGAGAACTAATATGAGAGTTGGCACAGAAGGACAGAGACAGGTTTTACACAAATACCATGCCTTTGTACAAAAGGACAAGAGCACTTGTAGAGCCTGGTATCTACATGGGATTCTGTAACTAACTGCTCCCAGATAGCAAAGATGACAGAGAAGGTAATTTCAGAGACTGGGGGTAGCTGACCCAGCCCCAAAGACAAGAATGTTGAGACCTAATGGAGCTGGCAAAGCTTTTCTCCAAGTTGACAGCCCATAGGTTTGCAGAACTGCAGTCTAGAACTGTAGCTCTTCCACACCAGGCTGGTGGGTCACCTAAAACCACCGTGGGCAGAAAGCCCTGTAGGTTCTTTGAAATATCTCAAGAAAATACATCTTGAATTTTATTGAGAGAAGCACTTCAAGTCACAATGGGTCCCTACTTGCTCATTCAATAGCAAGCAGATTACATAAAAACAAACAAACAAACAAAAAACACATCTTAATCCTTCAACTCATAGCATAATACAATTATAGATGCTACAAGCTTGCCACCCTGTGCCTGGGATAAAAATTCTAGCACTGTTAAGTCACTGACAATTCTAGGGCTTCAAACTTTAAATCTAAGAACTCTGTGGGTACCACTTTCTGCAGCAAAGTCTGGAGAAAATACAAGTGGCACTCAAGAAAACAATCTGGGTCAAGGTCAGTCAGGAGTCTGCTGAAGGACACCAGCATCAGAGGTACCTAAATGCCCAAGCATTTATTCACTTCTTTTCAATCCCAATGGACTACACACTAAATGTGCTATTTATTGTTCCTGTATGAAGTGAGGTTAAGAATCTTGAAATATTTTTTGAATCTGGTTTTGTGTGCCTATGTACCTGTATTTTAAAAATCTGATTATGAACACTCTTCAGTGACAGTCCACTTACTGTTAGCAGCCTTTTTCTAAGTCATGTGTAATT